GGCACTGCAGGTCGCCGCCGCTCTCGGCGAGAACATTCCTGCCAAATGGAAATACAGCAGGGACGGCCCATGGTTTATGCGATGCTGATAGTGGTGAACTATTGCTAGACATGGCCCAAGGCTCAGTTTTACATAGTGCGAGTGAGCTCCGCTGGTGTCATCGTGACAACCGCCTTACCCCTCACTACAAACACACGAGACCCGACGCAGGGGGTGGAGAATCCGCAAGATACACCGCACGAACATGGTGTTCAATTCGTCGCGACTACGGCACAGGTAGTGGCGATCCAAAATTAGGGCAACCCCTGGAGGCTTCTTTTGTCACATTCCTACTGGGGAACGAAATCGCCAGTCGATTTCGTTCGTTCCTCGGGGCCGACCTAGCGTCTGAAGATGACCTTCTCGTGCGACGGCGCTGCTGTCATTTACGGAGGGTGCCGGAAAAAACTCTTGACGAAAGCACTCCACCTTACGCGCTCCAAGAGAATAACGAGGACATACCAACCACTCACCGAGGTTCAACGTGATCTCCTTCCTGTACTCCGTAGGCTTTGTCGCGGTCCGGGCTGTGTGTGCTGAGAACTCTGGCCCCAAAGGTAATGCTCTCGTGGCATGCGCGCATGGCGCGGCGAGTTTTTTTGTGCTGGCCCCTTCCCGGGTACCGTGTCTGCTGAGCTACCATGTACGGAGCCCCGTGGGGCCTTTTTTTTTGCTTTTTCCACCGCGTGCAACCCGGGTGTATCCCTTAAAAGCCAGCCCACCTCCCGAAACGGCAAAAATATTGGGCTCTTCCTTCCTACCAAGCTCTTCCTAAATCTTTGACGCAGCAGCAGATTCGCATTCCTGTCATTGTGTCCCAGTAATTCTCTTCATCTTGCATTCCTTCTTCCTACTCTCGAACTGGATCCCCCGGGAGTCATCTTCGTCTACGGGCGCTACTCCAGTGTCCATGATCACCGTTTCCTTCACTTCGCCCTCCTGCAATGCGGGAACGAGACGTGGGTACGTCTTGCTGACGTAGCGCTGCTCATCATACTCACTCGCAACGCTGGCACGCCGAGCAGAAGCACGACGCCAACCGAGTCCTGAGCCTGTACGTCCGTTTCACCTTTCTGGAAGTCACGTCTTCCTCCCCCCACACCATCCTGTTACCCAGCCCCCTTGCCCTTCCATCTGCTCGCTACTGCACCCAACACCTTGACTTCCCGAAACTTGCTCTTCTCTTGAATCGACAAGCTACCCCGCCCCTCGCGAGTTCGTACCAGCTTGCAGTCATTTTCGAGTCCCTAGGTCGTGGTGGACCCATCCCACTTGGGAGTGTTTGCTCCCGCGAAGTGGTACATGTCTCGTGTACCCCTTATGCCTGCCAGGACCGAGTTTGGCCGATATATCTCCTTCTTGCCGAGAGACTCGACGTGCACCCTCCGCATGCGGTACGGAGACCACTTCGCGAAATACTTCCGCATACCCTCCCCCCCCTCGCTGCCTGCCTTCTCCCGAAAGAAGCTTCGCAAAAAGCTGACCACCCCGTCCGTCCCAATGATTCGCTTGCCAAATCTCTCCCTCCTCTTCATGGCGTTCTTTCCCACTCCGCCGACCCCATCATGGTAACCTTTGAAGTGAGATGCGGCCGCGAAGTGGTGGTTGATGAAGAAGCCGATTTGCCGCACGCTGTCGGCCAAGAAGCGGAAATTCCGCCTTCCCTTATACTGCTTCCCGCATCCATCCGTGAACATGTGAATCCCGGGCGTCCGGCCTTCTTTCCGGGCGGCAGCTGTTGCTACGCTCCCATCGCAGGTAGTAGTCCGCCATCCTGGCCAAGCCGTGCAGGTGGAAATCGCAGTTATGCGCCATGTCTTCAGATGCAACGATCCATGTTTCCGTCACGTGCACCCTGCCACCCCCCACGTGCGTCTGCGGGTTGAAGTGCACGATGGCCACCATGAGCGTTGTCTGCGGGTAAACCGGCATCATCATGTAGATGAAGGATTGGTGGGTGTACTTCTCGGCAAAGTCGGTCTCGATGACAAGGTCACCGTCCTGAAACGTCTCCAAGCAACGCCCGTGGCAGTGCCTTTGCCACTTGGCGATAGAGTGGTGAGCCATGTACAGCTTGGTGAGCTCTTTGAACGCCGACCAAAGATCGCAGAGCTTACCCTCCTTCGGCGCGGTCTGGTTGGCGAGTTTCTTGGCCTTGATCTTCCCATCTGCTGATGCAGGCGCAGTGATCACGTCCTCGAACATGTTCCACACCACCGTCTACTCGGAGTTCTTTAGCTTGCTGCAGATGGGAACGCCGTCAGCCCCCCCAANGTGCCTTTGCCACTTGGCGATAGAGTGGTGAGCCATGTACAGCTTGGTGAGCTCTTTGAACGCCGACCAAAGATCGCAGAGCTTACCCTCCTTCGGCGCGGTCTGGTTGGCGAGTTTCTTGGCCTTGATCTTCCCATCTGCTGATGCAGGCGCAGTGATCACGTCCTCGAACATGTTCCACACCACCGTCTACTCGGAGTTCTTTAGCTTGCTGCAGATGGGAACGCCGTCAGCCCCCCCAAACCCACACTTCGCGCAGTCCAAAGCGTTGCACTCTGGTTTCCGCCCCATCCAACCGTCACCCTCCGGGTCCGTTGCCCGCAAGTTGACCTTGGGGCAGGCAATCGCATGGGAGAATGTGCCCAAGTGCTTCCACGTTTCTCGCCACCTGCTGCCGCCATCTGCGTTGCACCATCGACACCGGCACTCCCCGTGGCTGGTTATGTCGACATTGGCCAGGGCCTCGATGTATAGCATCTGCTGCGAGTGGATCTTGCACGCGCACTGCTCCATGGCAGGGAGGACCAGGCACTTGCACCGCGTCGAGAGGAAGAGCGTGCGGCCAGGGTAAGTGAATTCGTCGCCTGGTCGCTCCTTGAAGCTCTTGTAAGACGCCCCGTTGAGAAATTTGGCGTACACATTATCGCCCCAGCCCGGCTTGGTGAGCTGCCGCCGAGGGTGGCGGTGAGCTGCAGGAGACTTACTCGCCTTCCACATGTCGCACTCAGCTGAGTTGCCATGCTGGCGTGACACCTCGTCCGTGTGCCAGTACTGCCTCATCAACTCCAGCAGCTCTTCGCTGGCGGCATTGCTTTGCTTAGCTTGGGGCCAAAACCAGCAGACACCGCGTTTTATCGCCTCGGTTGGATGAAGATCGGACAGCCAATTCTTGGCACGCTCCACCGCGGAGTTGAAGGCGTGCTCGCGAACCCCCAGCGCCTTTGCCCTACGTGCTGCCGACAACGATGGAACCTAGTCTACGCCGTCCCCAGGAAAGGCCGCAGCGTTGACGATCGTTTGCAACGTGCGGCTTCCATCCTTGGTTCTACGTTGCTTTTGCGCCTGCTCGATTGCTCGCTCCAACGAGACTGCTGTGCTGACCCTGTCTTCCAACTCTCGCAAGCGTTTACGGGTGTCCTTCGCAAACGTCGAGCTGATACCTTCCAAGTGTTTCAGCGCGTTGTCATACCCCATGCTGTCCATGGACGCGAGAAACGTTTCCGTAGACTGCTGGCGCCAGTCGACCGGCGCCGTCTGTGTGCACACATGACGAGCGAGGAGGCGGGGGGTACGACGTTGCGCAAAGCAATGATACTTAAGCGCAAGGCACGACTGATGGGGAGACCATTTGCACACACAAAATTGGGCGCTTAGTTTCCGTGGGAGCTGGCACAGACGAGCTCTCGCTGTACAACTACGCGACATTTCATGCAACTCGATCCGCTCGGTGAGATTAAAACCCCCTCGGCGCAATTATTCGTGTCTCGGCGAAATTGCCGCATGTGTTGACTGATGAGTGCATTGTAAGTGGGCCTCCACAAACGTATCTGCTGTGCTGTTGATTGATTGAAACCTCTAGCGACATTAGCACCTCACCGGCTCAGCTGGCTGAATTGTCACCACCCTGGATCGGGTCCTGCCACCTCCTCGCAAAGCCGCCATGACGGGGTCTGCTACCTCTCTGTCGGCATGCCTCCTAGGGCCACCACCGCTGCTGCTGCCCCCCTAATGCCCTTGAGCCTTCTCCCACTTTTCGCGCTTGTTCTTGAGAACGATATGAGCCATCTCTAAGGCTTTTGAGGCTACACTTTCTTCGGTATTTTCAACATAGACCTGGCGCTTGTTCGAAGACCTGTTGGGGTTCTTGTCGACGAGAGTCGTCGTCAACAGGTCTGTATGTAGTCACTCGTGCCGTACGACATGCCTAACCTTTCCTAGCCAAAGTATGCGTTCGCACTTGCCTGGCTTTGACACAGGTGCCGCTGGCCCAGCTCTAGCTGCACTCATTCTTGAGCCCGCGTTCAGCTGAGTTTTAGTCTGATCACTTTTCTGAGTGGCTCTACCCCCCCTGAATCGGCCAAGCGGAATCGAATGCCGAATAGGCCTGTCCTCCATCGGCCGTTTTGCTTGTATGGCGGAGAATAAGAAGGTGGAATTACTTGAAATTAGTATAGAAATAAAGTTTGTGTATCTAAATCGAAAATAAAACGGCCGATGGAGGACAGGCCTAAATGCCGACTTGTAGAAAAACTAGTTCGGTCGGGTATGCGGCGAAATGTTTTCGAAAGGGTTCCCGAACCAACTTTGTTTTCAACATTTTTTTAGGCGTCCTTTGTGCGGTTCTGAAAGCGTAAATAAAACGGTTTTTAAAATTCTCTTTTCTTCAGCTGAGCAGGGCGTATGACGCTCAGTTCCGGATGGCGCCTCTGGTGGGATTATTTCAGGGGCGCGGCGGTCCGCACCAACATCGTTCAAAGTACATGCAAGGGCCGTTTCATCCATTCCGAATTTTTGGTCTAAAGTTTCCAAATTTTTGGCGACAAATATTTGGAACCGAACGCTGCTGCAGCTGGTCTTCCAAATTTTCAAAATTATCTCGCCGCTTGCCTGGTGCCAACAAGCACAACATACACACACCATATGCCCATCGCCGTTGAGAATTCTTCCCCTTTTACCACAGGCACTGGTAAGGGAAAGGGGCTATACAAGATGGATTTGGTGATCCCCGCAGGATTGCACGCAGAAGAGAAGGAAGAGGAACTCTGCACCAAGTCCATTCGTAAAGACGTAACAATCGTCAACCCATCCGCAGGTCGGTGCATCGACAAGTCGATGCAAAAGCCAGGATCCGCCCTCGAAAATCGAGCCGCAAGTAAGGCAAATCACTATGCGGGAACTTTCAACCCGTCTAGATCTACCCTCCTTACTGCTGCTTTTTCAACGAATGGTGGTCTTGGCAAAGGCACCAATCGACTCATCGTTGCTATCGCCAACCACTTGGCGCACGAAGCTTTTTGCCGGGGGAATTTTTGACGACGAAAGAGCGTTAGTCCGCCTGAAAGCTTTTCATGCTTACAGGATTCGGAAACGGTTTACCTTCGAGCTAGCTCGTTTTCTGTCCATGCGAACTCGCGATGTGTTCAAACGTCATGGGCTACTGATCGACCAACTTCCACCAGGGCCAATCGGTTGGGATCTCTGCGACAACGATAGTAACGAGGGCAATTCTTGTTGGAGTGACGGAGAGGAAGGAAAGAGAAAGGCAAGAAAGGAGGACGAAGACGACGATGGAGGAGGAAAACATGGAGGAGTGGAAGAGAGCAAAGGGTTTGAGTCAGATGACCTTCCCAAAAGGAAAAACGTAGGACTAGGGAAGAACTGCCCAGAGACTCTTGTCAAAATGAGGATAAGAATGATGGTAGCGAACAAAAGGAGGATAATGGTGAAAGTACTCCAAAACGAACTCGAGTACCAGGTAGTAGCCTTGGTAGACACGTGCAGTTTTCTTCTGTTGCTGCTGTTTCTGTCGTTGATCCGAAGGATAGTTTAGCCTCCCCCATGCTGCCCCCTCACGGGGTCCCAGTTCATGGCAGATAAAAGTGTTTTGTGTTTTCAACCGCACTGAGACTGACGTCTTTTCATTGGTCAGCCGGTTAGCGCGGTCGATGCTAATAATAAAAACACACACACACAACGCCTTCGCCGTCAACACCTGCACAACCAAGACACCATGGCAGACAGCACAAAGGGACGGACTACTGGTCGCCGGGTGGCTGCTACCCCAGCCAGATACAGAGAGGAGGGCCATCTCGGCGCTGCTGCCGGCGAGGGTTCGAGCGCGCGCGGAATGCTCCCACGGGCATCTCTGGCGTTTCGTCGGCGCCACATACCCTTGATCCATCTCCCCCTCCGGCGAGGGCCGCCACAGATGCTGGGTCATCAGGTCTCCCGAAGATGGCGGAAACCCTGCATGATATCATGAGGGACGAGGAGGTCGGCGGCATTGGTGCCGGCGGCGATGATGTCGGCGGCGATGATGGTGCCGGTGGCGACAGCAGTAGTGACGACTGTTACGGTTACATTGTTACGGTTGATAGGAGTTGCACCAATGGGAGGATGCGCTATTCCCAACAGGTACTAGCAGTAAGGTCCGGTTTGCCGGGCCCCGTCTAGAGGCCAGGTTGCTCGGTCCCCTTGCCTTCACTTGACTTGACTGCTTCACTACTTCTCCTTGCTTGCCCTGAGTTAGCAATAATCAACAAGCGAATACCGTGTCCACGACCGGAGACCTTCCACTCCTTGTCACAAGCCACCTTCGAGGCTCACTTCTACCGCTGTTCCGGCTCATCTACCGAACTCGGTACCGATCGAGAGGCAGCTACCATCAGGTCGGTAGCAGTGCTTGTAGGCTGGGGTTCCATGTACAATCCGCTGTGGACAATTCCTCTTGACACCTAGGGTCCTGTCACTTGAATGATTAGAGACCACACAGACCCACACAGACATTGGGCCAGCCCCTACCCCTAGCCTCTCCATCCGTTTTATGGTGTCCAATCCGAGGATCGAACTCGGGTTTTTCTGCATTCAGTATTTACGCCTTGCGACACTCGCTGTTTCTGTGCGGAAGCATTCCCCTTTCTGCCGCATAGGTGGTATCCATTGTATAGTTGAACCAGTGTTTCGTTCTACGTTTCCATTTTGTTTTTTTTGTGGTATTATTTCAATAACTATTTCCCCTTGCGATCATTACAACTGCTGTGCCCTTGTATTTCCTCGTCGTGCATGCTCGCATTATTGTTTACCCCGTGCTTGCTGACCTTGCGTTGAATCTACTCCTTTTGCATTGACTCTCACACTATTCCTTCTTCGCCTGTCTCGCACTAGCAACGATGTCCTCTCCACACGATCAGGTGCAGGGGCTCTCGAAGCTGCTAACCCTTGCGACAGTGATACCCCTCTGATGCGTATTCTGGGATCCGTAGCACTGCCGGTGCTGTTTGACGGCGATGCGCGAGTAGGAGACGTAGAGGTACGCGTGGTAGACGGGTTGCCAAACGGGTTCATTGTGGGAGCAGACTTCTTTTGCCGGAATGCTAGCGTGCTCGATTTCAGCTCCAGCAGAGGCTTCAGCCCTGTACCAGCAGCACCCGGGGTGCCTTTTCTGTCGATTGCACCATACGCCTCCCAGGCTGCAAGCCCCCTCCGCAACGCTCGGGACCAGTTCAGTCTACTGACGGCTACTCCCGAGAACGCCCCCGCAGTGCCCGCCGTTCCCACAGATGTGCCCAGCTACGAGGACGTGGTGTGGGAGGACGACACCTCCTTCGAGTGGGACGTGCGACAAGTTCCGGAGACCACCGGCGTCGAGGGTTTCACCGCTCGCGCGGTGGAAGCTGCGGCTGTGGGGCAANTGTCCTCTCCACACGATCAGGTGCAGGGGCTCTCGAAGCTGCTAACCCTTGCGACAGTGATACCCCTCTGATGCGTATTCTGGGATCCGTAGCACTGCCGGTGCTGTTTGACGGCGATGCGCGAGTAGGAGACGTAGAGGTACGCGTGGTAGACGGGTTGCCAAACGGGTTCATTGTGGGAGCAGACTTCCTTAGCCGGAATGCTAGCGTGCTCGATTTCAGCTCCAGCAGAGGCTTCAGGCCTGTACCAGCAGCACCCGGGGTGCCTTTTCTGTCGATTGCACCATACGCCTCCCAGGCTGCAAGCCCCCTCCGCAACGCTCGGGACCAGTTCAGTCTACTCACGGNGCCTGCTTCGTGCAAGTTGGTAAACCGTAGTAAGGAGAAGGTGGCAGTCAAGGGTAGCCGGGTGATAGCTCGCATGGCGGCACTCAGTGTTCGCGACAAGCCGGCTTTCGATTCGCTGTTTGACACCGCCCCTTCTGCTGCCGACCCACCCCTGGCTCCCCGTGAACCGCGCGCCCCGAGCCCGTCCCCTCCTGATGGGGAATCGATCCCGCGTGTTCGCGTAGAGGACGACAACTTNGACAGGCAGCTAGTGATGGTCTTGCCGACCAAGCGGTTCGATTTAGAGCGGGGAGCTGTAGTGGGAGTAGCTCGCGCGTTAATGTGGTGGGTTCCTGGGTCGCCTGCTTCGTGCAAGTTGGTAAACCGTAGTAAGGAGAAGGTGGCAGTCAAGGGTAGCCGGGTGATAGCTCGCATGGCGGCACTCAGTGTTCGCGACAAGCCGGCTTTCGATTCGCTGTTTGACACCGCCCCTTCTGCTGCCGACCCACCCCTGGCTCCCCGTGAACCGCGCGCCCCGAGCCCGTCCCCTCCTGATGGGGAATCGATCCCGCGTGTTCGCGTAGAGGACGACAACTTGGGGACGCTGGGGTCGCTCGAGAAGCAGCAACTCGTCAACGTCCTCGCATCGTTCATCGAACACGGCCTGTTTCCGATCGACTAAAAAGCGAGTGCCGGCTTGCATCAACGGTGAGCTTGAGCTTCCTCTGATCAACGAGTTTTGCACACCTTTCGCAGCCAAGCAACGGCGTTTCTCTCCGGAAGAACGACGCATGATCAGGTCAGAGATTCAGCAGTTGGTAGACCGGGGCCGGTCGCCCCGGTGGTCCTGTGGTATCCTCGAAATCCTCTAGTCGCAGAGGTGAATTCGAATCCCCATGGGGTGAACAATTTACGAAATTTGCGGGTGAAAGCAAAATATAGCCAGAAAGCTCTCGTGAGTACCAAACTTCGACGTTAGCACCGTTGACGAGGGAAAGGGACGGCTGGACCCTTCTCGCGACAAAAAAAAAATTCAGCACGCACCGCAGGAGGAAGGTGGGGCATGAAAAGAAATAATAGAAGAAAAAAAGCCCTGGTGTTTACCCCCTCCTGTGTGGTGACCCTGGATGGTTGTAGTTGTGCGAAAAAATACACTGAAAAATGTAGTACTCCACATACGCTGAAAAGTGTAGTACATGTCTCACCACGAAAAATGGGGGGACTGTCGCCATAAGAAACAGGACGAAAACACACACACACAGACCCGAGGAATGATCCGTCAATCCATGTCTCCGTGGGCTGCCCAGTGCTTGCGCGTTGAGAAGGATGGTACGCTGCGACTGTGCATCGACTGGCGCGAACTCAACAAACTCTTGGTCTCGGATAGTGGGGGTTTGGGTGACATGCAGACGATATTCGTTGGGTTGAAGGGCAAGAAGTATTTCGCTCAGCTAGACCTCGCCTCCCGTTTTCACTAGATGGAAATCGCCGAGAAAGACCGCTACAAGACGGCCTTTCGAGATGCGGATGGTATGCTTTGCGGGTTTCGGCCTGACGGTGCTTCCGGCGGCCTTCACTCGTAAAGTCGGCTTTGGGGCATCTATCGGGCGTGTTTAGCTGGCTTGACGACATTCTTATCGCTAGCGACACATGGGAAGAATATCTCGCCAATCTGACGCTCGTTCTGAACCGCCTTCTGGCTGCGGGGCTGTCCGTAAACTTCGCGAAGTGCATTTTCGGCGCAGCACCGCAGGAGTTCCTCGGCATGATCATCGACAGCACGGGCCTGTACCCTGCTCCGTCTAAGCTAGATGCAATCGCACGCATGCCTCGCCCACACACCGTAGAAGAGCTGCGCACGTTGTTGGGTCTTACCGGCTACTTGCGTCAGTTTGTACCCAACTACAGTTTGACTGCCGCTCCGCTCACCAACATCCTGCGCAAGAAAGCCTTCGCTTCGAAACGTGCACGCAAGCTTCCTATCCCGTGGTCCGCAGCTGGGGAAGACGCCTTTCAGTCTTTACGAGATACGTTGGCTTCCCCGAGGGTCCTCGCTTTCCCTGACCTTGAGCGTCCGTTCGAACTGCACACGGATGCTAGCACGCTGGGTGTAGGAGCTTCGCTTATGCAGACAATCGATGGTGTCACCAGAGCGGTGGCGTTCGCGAGCCACCGGTTTTCACAAACCGATGCTAGACGCGGGCCCACGGAACGAGAATGCATGGGGGTCCTCTGGGCGGTAGACCACTTCCGGCCGTAACTAGCGGGTAGACGGTTCAAACTGGTGACAGACTGGTCTGCCCTCACATGGTTGTTCCGAAGCCGTGAACTCTGCCCCAAGCTGCACAGGTGGGCGCTGCGGCTGATGGAGTACGACCTGGAGCTGGAATGGAAGGCAAGGGTAGAGCACGTAGTGCCCGATGCTTTGTCCCGGTTTCCCGTGGCGAACCCGGTAGAGGTCGACGTCGACGATTCGTTTCCGGATGATCTGTCGTTTGCTGCAGGCGCTGCGTTGGAGATCTTAGGACCAGAGTTGAAGGGTGTAAGGCTGGCTGAGTTGGACCCTGTGCAGGTAGACCAAGTAGGCAATGCTGACCCCCACACCTCTCACCACACCCCGGAGGTGGCCGACTTCCACCTGTCCAGCCTTCGAGCGCTGCCTTTCGCTGCGTGTGCTGCTGTTGACCGTGAGCCTGATGCCCCCCGCCGCAGCGGCCGGACCCGTACCCCTTCGGTACGATTACGACAGATCGGCTACGCGCAGCTGCCCCCGACAAGCGTACTGGAGGCCCTCCCGGACAGAGAGGTCATCGGTCCCTCCGCGGTGGAACTCTCCGCTCCGGCGCCGTCGCCATTGACACTACCGCCGTCTCCCGTTCGACCTGGCCACGACGACATCGGTGAGGTGCTGGCTGCACGGGGGGAGGTTCCGACGTCGTCGTCGAGCCACGCGTCGGATGGAGCATCAGCCATCGATCTGGCAGCACAAGTACTCACGAGGCCGTCCGAGCTAGCGCATCGGCAACGAGACGACACCCATCTGAGTCAGGTTCGCAAGGTTCTGAGCAATGTAGCTGACTCTAGCCAGGGGGGAAGTGAGCGCGACAGGTATAGCCTAGGCGCGGATGATGTGATTCGGTACAACGATGGGAAGGGAAGAAAACTGCCTGCTATTCCATTCGCCATGGTAGCTGACATCATTACGTTGGTACACACGATCCGTGGTCATGCAGGAGTAGGAACAACGCTGTCCCTTCTGCGCGATCGTTTCCACTGGCCCACGATGAAGAACGACACTCGACACTTATGTGTTGTCACGCGCCTGTTGTAGACGCAAGAGACCGCCCAGCAGACGAGTAGCCATGATGGCAGGTAGACTGCTCGAGCCGTTGGACGTGCTGCATATGGACATCCTCAAGATCGACACACCATCGCAACCCGATCAACCACATCTTGCTCGTGGTGGACCGCGCCTCAAAGTTTCCCTTCGTGTTCCCGCTCGAAGCCAATCAAGCTGTAGGCGTAGCCCGAGTGATGGCAGAGCTGTGTCTAACTTACGGAGTTCCAAAGACGGTGCGCTGCGACGAAGGCCCAGAGTTTGGTGCAGAACTGGTGGAGCACTTGTGCAGATGGTTGCGGACAAACATCGTGTGTGGTGCTGCGGATCACCCTGGAGGCCAAGGATCGGTTGTTGTTAGCTACAGGAGTTGTTGGCTGAGCTGTGTAGGCCCTAGTCTGACCGATGGGATGAGTATGTTTCGCCTGCGATGTGGATCAAACGCACCTTGCCAGACACCTCAATCCNAAAGACGGTGCGCTGCGACGAAGGCCCAGAGTTTGGTGCAGAACTGGTGGAGCACTTGTGCAGATGGTTGCGGACAAACATCGTGTGTGGTGCTGCGGATCACCCTCGAGGCCAAGGATCGGTTGTTGTTGGCTACAGGAGTTGTTGGCTGAGCTGTGTAGGCCCTAGTCTGACCGATGGGATGAGTATGTTTCGCCTGCGATGTGGATCAAACGCACCTTGCCAGACACCTCAATCCCATCTAATATGACACCCTTCGAGTTCCTGTTCGGCCGCAAGCCTCGCACGTCGCTGGATTCGTTAGTTCCTCTTACGGACGAGATGGATCAGGAACGAGGAGTCGACAACTTCGTGGAGAGGCGCAAGCAAAATCTCCGTTAAGTAGGACTCGCCCTCGAGAAACGGTAGGAGCTTCGAGTGGCTGCACGCGCGAAAGCCAACGCCTCTATCGAGAGGTCGTCAGCTGGAGTGGGGGTCGTGAAGGACAGCCTGGTGCTCGTGCGCGAGTCCGAGAGTAGTCGACATCGTGACCACCAGTGAAGAAAGCTGCAACACGATCTCTACACAGGACCGTGGAAAGGGACGGGGGTGATCCAGCCCGGTCTCAGTGTAGAAGTCATGATGCATGGTAGAAAGAAGCGTAGCCGAAGGGTATCTACGGCCGACGTGAAACCTTTCCACCTCCGAGAACTTCCTTTCCGACACTCGTTAGCCGAAGAGTTCGCCCAGTATGCGTGGGGACCCGATTTCAAATTGCCTCCAGGAGCTCAAGAGAGTTTTGGTCCAGTCACTATCGCCGACTGTCGCAGAGTTCAACCAGCTTCTGGCATGCGAACTGTTTGGGAGTACAAGGGGAAGTCAGGGAATGGTGTAGTGTCGGACTGGCTGTCGGAGGAGACCATGCGACGCAGTTTTCACACCCCTTCAGTTGGATTGCTTCGTTGCGCTCTGGCACTTGTATTTTCCCCAGCTGGCAAACGCTTCTGCACCCGACTCAGTCAAGCTCCGTACCCCGTTGTCCCGCGCCTAAGCCTTGCACGTTTTCCCGATAGGTTTTACCTCCCAGAAGGAGTTGCCGGAGGAATCCTACTTCAGGGTCAGGTGTATGACTACCTTTCCCACTGCTGGCGCGTGCGCTACATCGACGGGAACTGGGAGGAGTTGTCCAGACGCGAACTGGAAAGACCTTCGAGATAGCCTTGGGGGGAGGGATTTCGAGCTAGTGTGATTGCTGGACGATGGGGATGCGTGGGGTTAGTGAGACCGTCTGCGGGTGATCATGGATGTCCATACAAGATTCGGTCGTATGTGTGTACCTTGGATAGTTTTTGACTATTGTTGATAAGAGTCTATTTGTTCCGGTTTTTAGACTATGCATGTCCACTTGATGTTTGAGTATTGTTGATAAGAGTCTCTTGTTTCGGTTTTTATGCATGTCAATCTGATTTTTGAGTGCGCCACCCAGTTGAGGTTCGGTAAAGCTTAACTGCTCGGAGACCGTACTTGCCAGATGTCCTGATCTGATTTGCAGTCGAAGGGTGGGTCCTGCGTCCGGTAGCACCCACGAGGGTTTGTTTTTTGTGCTAGTCTGGTTTGCAGTCGAATGGTGGTCCTGTGCCCGGTAGCGCCTAAGAGGGTTCGTGCTGTTGTGCCTTGGCATTTGATTGGGTTTGGTGTTGTAGGTGCTTTGCGCAATGGGCTTTTTCCTGGGTGGCCAGTTTTTTCCCGCGCTGTAGGTGTTGAGAGCTGGACTGCAACTACAGTGAATTCACCAAGCGAGGGACGTTTTTTTGTTGAGTATTTTACGTCCGAGTGTCACTTGGTGTTTTCGGTTGTTTAGTCTAAATTCTAGGGCTCTCGGGATGGTGAGCGAAGGGTTTGTCCCGGAGGCCGGGTTTTCCTTCGCGCAAGTCGATGTCGGGCCGTGGTTCAACGCGCAGTGAGAATTATGAAGAGGAGTGGATTTTATTTGGGTTTTGCCACTATTCACCTCTCGTAATTTTCGGTTGAACGTTCAGCCTACTCAAAGACATTGCATGGTAGTATTCCAAAAGGAAACGTGCCACTTTGCGGTTTAAACATTTCCTGCTACCGTTTATTAGCATGTGACAGCTGACAAATAGCTGTTCATGCTAACGGGGAGATGTTACGGTTACATTGTTACGGTTGATAGGAGTTGCACCTTTGGGAGGATGCGTTATTCCCAACAGGTACTAGCAATAAGGTCCGGTTTGCCGGGCCCCGTCTAGAGGCCAGGTTGCTCGGTCCCCTTGCCTTCACTTGACTTGACTGCTTCACTGCTTCTCCTTGCTTGCCCTGAGTTAGCAATAATCAACAAGCGAATACCGTGTCCACGACCGGAGACCTTCCACTCCTTGTCACAAGCCACCTTCGAGGCTCACTTCTACCGCTGTTCCGGCTCATCTACCGAAGTCGGTACCGATCGGGAGGCAGCTACCATCAGGTCGGTAGCAGTGCTTGTAGGCTGGGGTCCCATGTACAATCCGCTGTGGACAGTTCCTCTTGACACCTAGGGTCCTGTCCCTTGAATGATTAGAGACCACACAGACCCACACAGACATTGGGCCAGCCCCTACCCCTAGCCTCTCCATCCGTTTTACGACTCCTTCGACACAGAACATATTCGATATACTCGTAGCATAGCATGCGGGTGCTATATTGCGTATACATATGCGGGTTTGCAGTGACGAACTACGGAGGAACAAGAAGTTTCTTTATGTTTTCCTTGGGAGTGTGGTAGATTGGTGGACATTCATGGAGATTCGTTTTGGGTGTTTGAGCGTTATGCGTGACTTGATGCCGTGATGGAATGACAAGCTCAAGCACGCCCCCGATGAACACGGGTACAACACGTTTTCCAGCACGTCTGCACGACTTTACCTACCCCTACGGCCCGTCATGGCCGAGCTGCTCTACGCTCCCATCACACACAACTGAGCCACCCGAATTATCGATCAGAACACCCTCCCAGCAACAACGGCGCGGCAAGCGGAAGCTCAGCGCGCACGGCGCTTGATGTACCGGTATTCCCTGTTGTGATGGACAAGGGTAACACGCCGTCGAGGGCGAAATCTCCATCCCCAACGCCGCAGCAGTCGGTGGCGTCCTTTGCGACCCAGAGGTCCCTCGAACTCAACCAGAACAAGCCGTGCTCAGCGTGGCCTGACAGCCTCCTACAGATCGCTAGCCAGGCGCGAGGTATCTCCGACCTTTCGAGGGTGAGGAGCAGCTTAGTGTTGGGGAAGGCCCTAGCCGATGTCGACAAGGTGTGTGGGCGCCCAAGCCCCTACTAGGCGGATCTCGAGGATAAAGCAACAGGTGGAACCCTTCTGTGCGTTAGACTTTCCCCACTCTCATCCAACTGTTCATCTACCTCTCTGTACAATTTTTCTTTCTCTCCCGCTCACTCTCACACACACATGAAAGAGCATAAGTAGGTGGTAGACTTCGCGCTATTTTGGTGCATGTCCCTACGGCTGCATCAGCACCAATGCCATGTGCACGAAAGCTCCAACCCTAACCGCTTTTCTTCATGACACCTCTCTGCTCCACCCATGGTTGTCAACCTGCGTGCTTCCAGGTGAGACCCCGGCCTCCAAGCCCCTAACGGCGTCACCAGAGACCGCCGAGGTTCCGGAGGCCCTGGTTTTGGCTGTGCGTAGCGCCATTCGCAGTGGGGGGAGTATTAACCCGAAGAAAATGAATGACTGGGAATAGAACGCCTACCTCGCCAGTCGCGTTTTAGAGGTGATAGCGGATGACCGCGCGTCAGGGGACGGCGTCACCACCGCCGGCCGAAGGAAGCGCAAGCATTGCGTCCCCCGGGCGGTGGAGCTGATGGTCGCCGAGCCCTTCAGGGAGCGCCTTGCCGCGAGCAGGACGCAGTTGTCTAGGACGGAGCTCGACAATAAGGAGACGGGCAACAAGCGATCGGTATGCTTTGAGCTATGGAAGGACTTCAAGGACCGGACGTGGAGGTGAGGTCTGAATGTATACCGTTTCCATTAGCCCGCAGGAACGTATTTTGTTGAGGTTACGTTCAAGTCTAGTTCGTATGCTCACAGCTATGCTCACAGCAATCTAGCACCCAGGGTCAGGGGTTTGAATCCCGTCGAGAGGGAGATTTTATTGCGAAGTGAGTTTTATTTCGCGCCCGTCCTGGCGCTAGTTAGTGTGCACTCTTCTCGCATTTTTATCGAAGGCAAGGACCGCAGGAGGGTCGGTAGGAGCTTAGGGGGTGGAACCCTTTTGTGTGACAACGGGTTGTTGACGTCCTATCCAGCAGCAAGAACGTGTGCCAGCGCTCATTATAAGGTATTGAAAAAAAAATCGATGTGCTTCGTCAAACTATCGACCTGTTGTCCCCCCCCCAAAAAAAATATACAAAACAACAACGCCCTCTTGCCTTGTTGCAGGTGGTCACACACCTCAACGACGACGAGCACATCACCGCGGCACAGATCGACCCGAACATAGTCCATCAGCCCGACATTTCGTACGACAAGCTCATGAACACGGTGAAAGTGGTTAACAAGGACTATGGCGACTGCCACCACAACATGAAGAAGTCTGGGAGTCACGACGAATGGTAATCCTTCTGCCGTGGTAAAGTCTGCCTTTTTTGTTGTGGCCCTTGCGCAATAGGTGGTACAGCTAACGGCACGTGTCGGTGGGGTACACCTAGAGAAATGACAGTGGTTGGTCCACGCGTCGTGTTGAAGCGTAGTTGAATGATATTTCGGTAGCGTGCACCGTACTATGCTTGGGACGATGCTGGAACAACAGGCCGGATTGTACAATTAACGTCGATCAAACATTCCTCAACCACGGCACACTTCAATCAATCACAAGCAAGGGACTTGCCCTGTACCAACAGGTGTTGTGTTGCAGCGATAAAAAGTACCGGTCGTGGTCAGTCGAAACGTGGTTCGTCGAGAAATGAGTACTGTTCGGTTTCTTCCCTTGTTAGTATTGGGTCATGTGCAAGTGTTCCTCTGTTGGTCGTGAACGCCCGACAGAGTACACCCCCCCCCCCCCCCCCCCCCCCCCCCCCCCCCCCCCCCCCCCCCCCCCCCCCCCCCCCCCCCCCCCCCCCCCCCCCCCNCCTACTGCGATTCCCCTCATCACCAAGGGTTTCAATAATGTGCCTTTGAAAAACCCGATTTTTCTTCATGTTGGCGATGCATCGATAACACCAGTACGTTCCTCCCACAAATACGTGTGCGCTCTAAATGGCATCAGCGGGTTGTACGTTTGCGCTTGAAAGTTCCAGCACGACGATATGCTTTCGTGGTGACTTCTACTTCCGCTCAATGTCACCTTATTGCCGCCTAACGATCGCCCCTCCCGCCCCCCCCCCGACTCGCCCTGGTTGAAACACCTTGAACGTCAAAATATCAGAAAACCTGGACACCTACTACTTTGGAGAGGTCATGGCCGGGTACCCGCAGATCCTCGCCGTGTGTGACCGGGTCCTGCCCGACGACGTGCAACGGGAGAGCAGCGGCGTGGGGGGGGCGGCCGCTGGACCTACCGGCGCCAAGGGAGCCGCTGCTGACGCGAAGAGGATAGAGAACTCCAAATTCAGAGCGAGGGAGGACAACGCCCACCTCAAGGCCAAGAAAAAGCAGTCTAAGAACGCCGTCAGCGTGCAAGAGACGGCCGCGGTTGCCATGCACTCAGTGGCGTCTGGCCTTGGACTGCCCCCCGGCGGAATAAGCGAGCTATTTCGGCCAGCGTCCGAACCCGCCCCCGCCGCAGCACCTTCCTCGCGGGACATCGTTGATGAAAAGACCGCAAAATTGGCGTTTTTCGACACCTTGTTCAAATCTTTCCAAGCCGCCACCAAAAATCTCAAACAAGCCAAAGCAGAGGCGGCAGCCGGCGACAGCACGGCGCTGGAAATGGCCGGTTTTCTGGAAAAAAATATTGCGAAGATTAGAACCGAGATGGCGGAATGGGACAAGAATCCCCTTTGAGGGACTGCGGTCCCTCCCCGATTCCACATGTGCAACAGCGATCGATTGTGTGTTGGTGGCGGTTGGTGTAAGATCGTTCGTGTGTGGGCGAGGGAGGGAGAGGGCAGATCGCTTTCACTTGCCGTAACGTTTGTCTTTTGTCGGGTGGGTGTTTGACGAGTACACCACGTGTAGAACACGCATGGAGAACGCGTGGCGCACGCTTGAAGTTTGATGTTTCTCTTGCCACTTATAGCAGTACCACTTGTTTTGTTTTGTGTGTTTTTCACAAACCACCGCGTGCATTCGTAGATGTCTAGGGGGACACACACGCAGAGCTAACGTGTGGCGCACAACCAAAGTTTGTTTTTTTAGGCACGTACAGCAGTACCACTTGTCTTTTTTTTTTGTGTTTCTTTACAGATGACCAGGGGGCCGGGGGGGGGGAATACACAAGAGAACGTGTGGCGCACGACCAAAGTTTTTTTTTTTTTTGCCACGTAGAGCAGTACCACGTGTCTTTTTTTCTGTGGTTGTTTGTTGTTGTTGTTTTTCTCCCATGATTGGACTCTGTCGTCTGCCCCTCTGGCCCTTATCCTCCACTTTTACCAGCTAGACGACCCAACCGGGGTCACGTGGGAGGGGGGGGTTGGACCCCCTCCTGCGGTTCCTGCCTGAGATGTTTTTGTCGCGAGAAGGGTACAGCAAGCCCTGCCCTCGCGACTTATGAAGTCGATCAAGTTTACTAACGACGAGCTTCGCAGCTCATCACTTCCACCGGAGACCAGGATTTAATTAGCGAGAAAAAACTCACTCTGTCGGGACTCGAACCCATGACCTGGCCCTTAGCAGGCTGCGAGGCTACCCACTAGACCACCGGGGCGACCGTTGTGGTGTTTCTTTACAGATGCCTAGGGGGGGGGGCACGCAGAGAGACCACGTGGCGCACGACCAAAGTTCGTTTATTTTTAGCCACGTACAGAAATACCGCTTGTTTGCTTTTGTTCGGTATGTTTTTCACCAGCCACCGTCTGCATTTGTAGATGCTTCGGAAACAACGTCTCCTCACGACGCGAACGTAGTCAAATGCAACGTAAAAAACGTTTTGAACGCGGGTCCATTCCCGATATGGTTATCCCGGGCTGTGGGAGCTGACCGGCTACGCCATGATGCTGTTCAGCCAACACTGTCTCCCATCTCGCATCACGCAACTATGACATGAAAAATTCCCCCACAGGGGGGAGGGTGCTCACCCTTACCCTACACGCTAAACGTTATAAAATAAATGCGTTTGGAAACCTACATTATTCTTCGACATCCCTGCAATTCGAATTTTCTCGCGCAAGAGATGCACAACGCAGGAATGACACCCAAACAAACGACGCCATGAAAAGCGACAATACTTATTGAAACAACACGAAATCTTGCCGGACACCACTCGTAGATTTACCCCGGTTTATGATGTTTGTAACACATAAAACACGACTTCCGCATAATTGCCTCCACGTCCTCGTTGAGGCGCATGTGGATTTCGCGCCCGACCCTCTCCCCCCGAAAAAAAAACAACCTGATCACCCGCCCGTGCGCCTTGCCTTCCCTTTCACCCCCCCCCGCCCTACCGGGGTTGGGTTGTCGTCGCTTGGCAACGACGTTGTAAAAACAAGCCAATTCACTTCGTGAACTCGACAACCAGGTTACCGCTTTTTTTTTTACCGCTGTTGTATTTTTTGGCGGTAACCAAAATGGCGATCGAGTAGATCATGTTGTGCGGGGTCGAGAACCCTCACTCCGCGCAAGGGGGATGATCGCACCACGTTTTGTTAAAATGGTCAAGCACCCTCGAGGCAGTTACACAGTGCTTACAACTGTCTCTGGAAGTGAAAGCTCCAGAAAGTAAATTAAGCCATACGCAGCTGTCATCCGTACGCAAGGAAGTAAGCACAAGATGCCGAACACCCTTAGCAGGATCCAGCGCACCCTTCATGCGACTCGCCGAATATCTCACGGCGCTTCGCGCTTGGTGATGTGAGAGCCTGGTCCGGTGAGAACCCGGCGTGCTCCGTCCCGGCTTTGTAGGGATGCGAGGTCAATGGTCTAACGACTACGGCATGCACGACTATGAGGACACCCCCCCCGCCCTACCCCACCAGAGGCGTTGCATTCCCGACTACCATTGTCCACACCCGCCGCCCCGGCCACGGCCCACGCTCCTCAAAGGCCACCACGGCCGCATTTGCCTCGTCTCGTCCATCATCCACGCACTACGTCCTCGGGACCCACCCTCCACCGCAGCCCGCCCGCGTTCGATCCCTTACGTCTTCCTCGCTGCGTTGCGCACCAAGCTGTGCTTTGGGCGGTAGTGGCGCTTGTTGTCCAGCATCATCGTGATCCCCTTGCGCGTGGCGACTTCGCCTGACCTTGTCCGTTTCTGCCCGTCCTTGGTGGTCGTGCTGAAAGCTCCTGGCAAAGTCTTGCCGCCGAGTAGGTGGGGGCGTACCTGGACTACCTCCGCGTCTTCTTCCGACCGGTGGATTGGTGTGACCTTCTCGTCCCGGAGATAGTTGTGGAGGCGGAAGAGCGCCGTGATGAGGTTGCAGCGCCCAGCGAACTGAACACGCAACGGCTTCCACAGGATGCCCCACTGGCCGACGAGAATGCCGAACGCTTGCTCGATCCTGACTCTGAGTTGGCTCAGATAGAAGTTGAACGCGTCTTTGTCCAGCGGCAGTCCCCTCCCTGGGTACGGAGTCAACAGGTGGTCGCTTAGGGGGTAAGCCGCGTCTCCGAGCATGTAGAACCCTGGCGGCAGGTTTTTCACCGCTGTGGATAGATCCGAATGGTTCCATGCCGTCCAGTCATTGGTCGAGCCGGGTGCAATGCAAGACATGCGCAAAAACNAGTCAACAGGTGGTCGCTTAGGGGGTAAGCCGCGTCTCCGAGCATGTAGCCTGGCGGCAGGTTTTTCACCGCTGTGGATAGATCCGAATAGTTCCATGCCGTCCAGTCATTGGTCGAGCCGGGTGCAATGCAAGACATGCGCAAAAACGGTAGTTGGCATCGCATGTCGCCTGTACGTTCATCCCGTAGCCGCACTTGCTCCCAGAATAATACGAGAGAACGTTCGGAGCTTTGAGGGCAGTCGGAGCAAGAGTCTTCACGAAGAGGCCATTCCCCGCAGCTACCACACCTTGAAAGGCGCCGCCCGTGCTCTTCCCCTGAGAACAGACATGGCACGCGGGGAGGGACACAACAGAGGTGCTCTTAGATTCGATAAAGTCAGATTCGGGCAGCGGCAAGCCCATCGACTACCCCAGAAAAAACGTACAGGTGTGTGCGAGCAAATAAAGACGAGCCCTCTCCTAGACATGCCAATCAATACAGTGCGACTGTTCGTGCCAATGTTCCCTGCAGACTGGAGCTCATTTTCACCATGCATCAAGCCAATAAGTGAACACAAGGTATAGAGGTTTCCCCGTGCTGTCACAAGTGCCTCCCGCTCGCTCCTTATTCGGTGTGTCTAGACAAGCAGGATATTCTGACGAGCGGGGGATCGACATGCATGCATCCATGCAATCCGAGTCATTTGTTTTGGGCCAGACTCTGCAGCAGTGGTGCCTTGCTTGTGTACCATACAAGTTGGGAGGCCTGTAGCCTACGGAAGAGGTGAGGTTGAACTGCCTTCCGACACCAGACCCGTGCATACCACAGCACAACACCTGTCTTTCCATTTTCGCCGCCTTGCCTGTTTTTGGCCATGTTCGCACGTACGTCTGTTCGCATACTCTGTAGTCTATATTCGAAGTAATGTTGAAACTAAGCCGCACCAATCTCGATCATGTGTTCGTTCACAACATCATAATCACCTACCACGAATGCAAACATGCAATCTACCCTGCTGCTGTTAACTATTTAGTGCATCATTTTCGCACCTCCCAGTCTGCCGCCTGCCGGGTGCACTCATCCTCGCTCTGCGGAAAAAAGACGGCCCAACCTCTGCTGTGCTGTTGATGCCATCCACCACCTGCCACAAGATGCCGAAGACCGTCTCCTTGGACACGCCGAAGAGCACGGCGACATCGATATACGAAGCACCGGCCATCATCCGCAAGCCGATAGCCAGTCGGATCTTCGCGGGAACAGCAACGCGTTGATGCCGTTTGCCTGTTTCGCATGAAGCACAAAACAAGCATAGCGTGAACGTATCAGCAGACGAAAATAGCAAGTGCTGGGCGGTGAAACTGTTACCCTAACCCTAGTCAGACACCGGAGGTCACCGTCCTGCTGGTGTGATACGGCGGTCGGTGGTGCTGCGGGATGATTCGCTCTGTTCCTACAGCAGTAGACTATTACACTAGCAAACAGCAGTGGTCTTCTGCATGCAACACTTCAGCATCAGCAACAAACGTGAGGACGGGAAAAACACCACGGCATGCGTTCTGCGCCTCGTACGTCAATTACACTCTCTCTCTCTTCCTGCCCCCCCGCCCCCCCATCCCTTCCTCCCGCCGTTCTCCATTCTCACTTGCTTAGTAGTCGTTCCGTTGGAGGATCGGTTCCAGCAACCCAGCCAGCTTGTTGAACACCGGTTCCTCCATGCGATACATCCTCCGAAAGACCTTCCGCTTCTTGAGGTCAGCAGCGTGATCCGCCCAAACCAGGCGCCGTGGCTCGTGGATAGCCGCACGCGTCTTGTTAGCGCTAGCGTGCACAGCTACAGAGGTGATCACTGCCGCCGCACTCAGCACCAGCATCACCGCAGCAGCTGCTGCTGCTTTCATCTGCCGCCCCAGCGCTTGGCGACCGGATGCACGCCTGAATCGTTGGCTTGGTGGGCCAGCACACGACGAACCAAGAGGCGCGCCGCGTTTCCTGCGGCCCGCCATGGCCCTGCCGCTATCCAAGTACCCTCCGCTGCTGCTTCTCCCTTGTAGTTGGTCCTGTAGGTCCTTTAGCTGCTGGGTTTGTTGTGATGCTCCAATTTATCTGGAAAATTTGGAAGCTACTGAGTACCGGTCTGTCCGGGGATATAGTACCGATTTGGATATCCGGCAACATAACTTTTGCTGCTGACCGCAATTTCTGAAACGTTTTTTTTTTTTGCTGCGCAGAACTCTTTTCAGCGCAGACGCCAGAAAACGGACTTTTAAAAAACATCATAGCATATATGAGACACACAAGACAGCTACCAAACTGATTTGTTGAGCCTGTTATCCACAGGGGAGATGTCCCTATATGCTGTCTGGGAAATCGTAGACACACAGGTAGTTTTCTCTGATGCTATGATTCCATTGTTAATCTGTCTCTGACTCTTTTCTATGATAGAGATGGACTCGTTGTGTCATATTAAGAAAAAAAAAAATCATACCACACACCCCTGTTCACGTGCCGCCAAGTCGAGCCAAACTGAGCTCTTTGGCGGGAATCGCCGGTTGGAGGACTTATCAGCGGACCCACCAACATGTCTGCTGCGGAAAGCGCTGCCAGCAGACCAAAACGCAAGAATTTGACAACTTCGGAGAAAAAAGGCATTGTTGCCGATGGGAAAATAAATAAAAAAATGTTCGGGGCGTCACCGTGTCTTTGTTGTAACCCGGGGATGATCAACCAGCATCCCCGGTCCAAATCCGACCCGTTTTTTTTCTTTCCTGCGGAAAGCACCGCCCACTGCTGTGGTTGTGGATGCTGGAGAGCTTTCGGTGATGAACCAACCCTGTCAATTTCACAATATTCCAAATGAGAACTATATTGCCGGATATCTCTGATATCCCGGGGATGACATTCCAGCATCCCCGGTTAGCCCATGACGTTNCCGGGGATGATCAACCAGCATCCCCGGTCCAAATCCGACCCGTTTTTTTTCTTTCCTGCGGAAAGCACCGCCCACTGCTGTGGTTGTGGATGCTGGAGAGCTTTCGGTGATGAACCAACCCTGTCAATTTCACAATATTCCAAATGAGAACTATATTGCCGGATATCTCTGATATCCCGGGGATGACATTCCAGCATCCCCGGTTAGCCCATGACGTTTTTTTTTGGGGGGGGGGGCTTCGTACGTCATGCAATGACCGTGGACGGCGATAGAGCGATTTCGATCACCAAAATAGCCCTCTGCGCTTCAATAGTCCAAACCGGAACTATATTGCCGGATGTCCAAATCGGTACTATATCCCCGGACAGACTGGTACACATGTTGGCGCCCACAGGTTCGTTCCGAATGTTTTTAATATATTTTTTGGACAAGTTCCGAAATTTCGGAAAATTTGTATTATTACGAACAAACACACGCAGCGCCATTAGGGAAGAGGAGTGTTGTACGATTTGAGATAGGAGCCGTTGACGAGCAGTCATCATCGGCGAGTGTTGGTATCATGTAGACCAGGCGTTTCTTGTCGTGCAATCCAAACCCTCGAGAGTGCTCTCTGGAATGTTTTTGGAGTTTCGGTCAACCGCAGCAACGACAGCCGTCTTTTTTTTTTGCTCCTCATCACAACTCACAGATCCTTTTTTCTACCCATAAAAAGGGGAACAAAAATTCATGGTGTTGCAAGATGACCAACTTGTACTTCTACGGTTCCCCAAGCAGAATTCAACGTTATCTCCCCTGTGTGTAACAGGCTCAACAAGACAGTTCGGCGTGGCCATGTCTGTACCTTACAGTAGTGGGCCCTGTATAGTGCCAGCTGCATGCCCCGAGCTTGTGTACCATGCACCATGCTGTTTTATTGTACATACAGCACTTCAGATAGCAGTACGCTGTAGTCGACATTCATTTCGGTTAAATGCGGGACAAGGGGGGTGATGCTGTAGTCGAATTGTAGTGTGTGGGCGTGTAGTTCAGTTGTGAGCAGAAAACAAAATGATAGAAAGAAAACAACAGGTATCGCACCGACCGTTCGAGAAAAGAGCCCTCGGAAACCGATCAAAATAAAACAAAAACAAAAATAAAGCAGGACGCTTCCCACATTCGCCCAAAGAAAAAATCAAAGGGTAGCGTACCTGCACCAGGCACTACGCACCAGGTCATGGGAGTAACGGAGCAAACAGGACAAACAAAGAGCCGGCAGCTGGGCAGACAGCCAGACGTACAAAAACAAGGCAAGCAAAGCAAGATCAAGGTACCCAACACAGCAGAGTAGGCAGGGAGGTCATGAAAAAAAGAAACACAGCACAGAGGCCGAAGGCAATACAGAGGACATACAGAAAGGAGGAGAGCATGCAGCAGGGAGGGAAACAGGGCGCAACAACATCAGCCGGGTACATAGTTTCCCACAAGTGCTGCCTCTGCCGCCCTACTCGCTTCTACAGCAGTACCCGGTCGCCGTTTCTTTCCCCCCACCGCCGCTTCCCCGGCTCTCTTTCTCTTCGGTCCTGAGATGGCCGTACTNACACAGTCTCCGTTTGCGCACGGTGGCCTCGATGGTTTCCTCGCAGCCTGCCTGGATGAGGGCCTGGGCATAGGACAGGGGGCGGTCTGAGCGTTTCCGCTTGCTCCAGCCGATGCACCGTGTGAGGAACTGGCGGTGGGTCCCATTGAGCTTCGTGTAGTGCTCCGCTAAAAGGCTCCACGAGGCACACCAATACAGGAGAGTCTCCACCACTTCAGTCTGGACTAGCCGGATCTTGAGCTGGCGGTTGGCCCGTAACCTGTCGTATATCGAAGCACTGTTCCGGCGGTAGCACTTCCACGCGCGGCAGCTGCGGCTCGTGATCTCCCGGTCGGCCTTCCCGTCCGCGGAGATGGTACGTCCGAGGTACACAAACCGATCTGTCTGCTTGTACGTCTGGCCGGCGGCGCTGACCGTGAACNCACATGATCTCCGTCTTTGGCTCCGATACCATCAGTCCGAACAGGCCGGCCACGCGCACGATGACCGACATCATCTTCTCGAGACTCTCCGGCGAGCGCGAGACGATAGCCGCGTCGTCAGCGTAGAGCATGGCCCACAAGGCCTCCGCGTCGGTCACCACCGTCGTCTTCTTCACCGCCGACCTGCCCTGCTTGCCCGTGTACTCCACTTGTGTCCCGATCTTGACCATGTCCTCCGTCACCTTGGGGTCCTTGTCGAACTCGGCCACGGAGACCATGAGCATCGCGGCAAAGAACAAGTTGAACAGCAGCGGAGTCAGGTTGCATCCCTGTCGGAGGCCTTGGCCCACGCCGAACCATTCCGAGCACTGCCCGTCGTCCGTTCGGACGCGCGCCCTCATGCCCTCGTGGAAGTGGCGAATGACCGCCAGCATCTTCGGGGGCACGCCGAAGCGTCGGAGCACGTCCCACAGTAGGTCTCGGTCCACCGAATCGTATGCCTTGGTGAGGTCGACGAAGCACGCGAACACCGCAGTACTCTTCTTCCTCGCGAGCTCATGGAGCCGCTGGATGGCGAACAGCATGTCGAACGTCGACCGGTGTGGGCGGAAACCGCTCTACTCCTCTGGGAGGATGCCCTCTCGCTCGTAGTAGTGGCTCAATCGTGTAGCGACGACCTTAAGCAGCACCTTGCCGGCGTGTGCGACGAGAGAGATGCCCCGGTAGTTGCCGCACTCCATCGTGTCCCCCTTCTTAAACAGCACCTTGATGGTGGCATCCTTCCACTGCTGTGGTACGTCCCGAGTCTGCCACACGTCCACTACAACGGCGTGGAATTCGCGAAGGAGACCTTGATCTCCGTCCAGGAAAAGCTTGATCAGCTCAGCCGGTAGGTCGTCCGGCCCGACGGCCTTTCTGTTGGCCATTTCCCGTACCGCTTCCTCAACCTCAAGTAGAGATGGGATGTCGTCGAGTGGCACGCACGTGGGCCACCGCTTGACCTTGTCAGCCGCATGCAGGTCGATGGTCGGCGACTTGGTGTTGAGAAGCTTGTGGAACCACCGTGTCCACCGTTGGCGAATAAACGTGAGGTCCCGAAGGACCTTGCTGTCCTCGTCCTTGACGTTCTGAGAGGTGAACGACCTCTTACCTTCGATGTTGATCATCGAGAGGTGCCTGTAGAAACCCGCCTAGTCCCTCTCGCGGCTCTTTTTCTCGAGCTGCCGTACATAACCCTCGAAGAACGTTTCCAGTGCTCTCCACCTCGTGATGCTGCGCTTCTTCCGCGTCGCCTTGAGCATCGCCTTTAGGGTCACCTCGAAGGCGCTGTTCTTTGAGGCCTCACGCAGTTGCTGCTGGGTGCCTTAATCTCCTGAGACGCTTCGGAGATCTCGTGCTGCGCTTCGCTCGTGTACCAGCCTCTCTGCCCTCGTGCGCACCTCGCCAGCGGCGCGGTCTCAGCAGCGGCCGACATCACCGTAGCCGTCAGCTCGGCGGCGGTCTCTCCCGTTGGCCGCCTGAGCGCCGTGGGCGGAGGGCGGCTGGAGGCCCTGTTTTGGAAGGCGTCCCGTAGGTGTTTGTCCTTCCTCAACCGCTCGAGGTCGATACGGGTCCGGCTGCTTCCGCTTTTCCCCCGCACTCGTCGGCAGTGTAAACATCGACACTGACCAGGAATCGTTCCACATTGAGGTGGTCTTTCACGATACAGGTACACAATTAAGGCACCCGGGTTATCCGCGCCATCTCTGCCGCGTCTCTCCACAAAACCAGTGACGCCATCACACACACGCAACACCTATATTCGGGAAAAAACGGAAAAATAATGGACAACACAAGAGATGTTTGTCCGTGCGCCACGGTTCGATGCCATCCGCATGCTCCGGTACCGCTGCTCCGGTGCCGCTGTGGCCAGTCCTAGCACGACCAAACTCGACCCGCTCCGCTTCGTACACGCTCTCGTTCTTGTCCTTCCCAGTCGGTTCCTCGCTTCAACCCTCGTTGCACGTAGGGTTCTTGGTCTGAGAATTCTCCGTGCACAAAGATGAAAAGGGAATTGCTGCTTACACCGACCGCCTGGAGGCCCGCGCATCTGCACCTTTGTACCTGGCGCACCAGTGCCGACCCAACTCCACCACTGCGCACGCCTCGCGGCGGGTGCGCCGCAGCAAGAAGGTATCGGTCCCTTGAGGGTGAGTCTAGCCCTATTCGCTAGAAAGACCTCCCCCCCCCCTCTCGGTGTTTGCCATCGAGGTTGGGTTTTCGTCGCT